CGTATGAAAAGAAAAGAGATGAAAATGCTAAGAATTGGAATTAAAGAAATAAGAGAGAGAAAGAGAGAGAAAGAAAGAAGAATTAAACATGCAAAATGAAAAGGAATGTTGGAACAAAAGAAATAAAAGATAGAAAACTAGATATATGTGAAAAATATAAAAAAAAGAAAGGAAGAGGGAGAAAAGGAAAGAATGAGAGATAAGAGGAAATAAGAAAGAAGAATTCCAGGTATGAAAAGAAAATGCTAAGAATTAAAGAAATAAGAGAGAGAAAGATAGAGAAAATCCAATGAAATAAAGTTAAAAGAGAAAGGAAGAGAGAAAGAAGAATTAAACATGCGAAATGAAGAGGAAAAAATGTTAGGACAAAAGAAATAAAAGACAGGAAACGAGATGTACGTGAGAAATACAAAAAAAGAAAGGAAGATGCAGAAAAGGAAAAATGCTAGAGCAAAAGAAATAAGAAAGAAGAATTCAACGTATGAAAAGAATGAGATGAAAATGTTAAGAATTAGAATTAAAGAAATAAGAGAAAGAGAAAATCCAACGAAATAAAGTTAAAAGAGAAAGAAAGAAAGAAAGAGATTCGTTTTCGAAAAATGGAAAAATGGTGAAGCAGCTATGCTAAATTTTAACGAGATAAGAAAGAATGAAGTGAGAAGGAAAACGAAGAGATCGAGATCTTTCTTTCGAAATTTGTATTTAAATTAATTAAAACGTAAGTAAAAAAACTTGGAAAATCTCGGTTCATCGAAAGAGGGGGGGGGAGCAGAAATTCGAAAATGGAAATGGAAATTTTCACAGCGGGTGGATAGGAAATTGCACAGCGAGTAATAACTCAATTATCGACCGATGACTTTAAACGGTTACCGTTTCATCGGGGCCACGCGCGTCGAATTCCGCCGGAATTGAATACGCGTGCCGTTCGATTCCGCGGACAATTCATTGGCGGGAAGGGTGCGCTCGGGCAGGTGAGCGCGACGCCATAACGAGTCGGGGCATTAAATTTATCCGTGCTGCCAAAATAGCACTCCGATGCCTCCTGATTAAACCCCCGAATAAATTACCGCCGATATTCATTCCCCCTAAAATAACATAATCAAGCGTCCGAAAATCACATTACATTTCGTGACATTAAATCTCTTTTATTCTTACCCGCAAAAAAATTTCCTTCTTCCTTCTCCTCCTCGATCCTCGAATTTCCAAATTTTTCCAAATTTATATTTTACAATATAAATAACATATAATATTTTATAATTTCCAAATTTATATCTATACGGAAGGAAAAAAATATCGTAAATATCGTAAATAATCCAAATATGTCCTTTTTCCCTTTTTACAAAACTTTTCAAAACAATGGAGAAGGAAGGAAAGGAAAAGGAAAAGGAAGGATCGGAGAAAATAGAGGATAATAAAAAGGCGAGACGACGTGAAATGCGGTTCGAAGAAATTCGATCGTTTCGGATAGGCGCATTGGCGGTGGGCCTGAATCAGGTGGCGGAAAGTGGGGGAGGGGGGGGG